AGAGACGTTCCCTATGTGCACTCACAGAGGCATACCTGAGCACTGCTTCTTAACCACGCACCATTTGTCTGGTTCAATGTGCACGCACAGAGAGCCATAATAGTCATGTGTAATGTGTTTTGGAGTGCAGTGTAATGCTCTTTTCTGAAACTTTGTCCCTTTCTTTCTTTTTTTTTTTGTCAACTTTCTGCATTGGCAGAGCATCTTGGGATTGAATTTATGGGTATGGACCAATCATCATTCCTTTTAGCCTGCAGAATTTAGAGCCTATGAGCTGAAATCTTTTCCCTTCCTACTCTTACCTTTCAGTTCCTAACTAATTTCCTTTTCCTTTAGAAGGGATCATACAGCTATAACAATGATTTCTCTGCGTTCAATCTATGATTAGTTTACTGAAATGTTACTGAGTGCAGCAGGGTTTAGATTCCCTAGCATACTTCACTTAGAGTTTAAAGCTGCTGCAAATTCACATATATCCCATGCTGCTTAACCCACTGACTGGATCTGGCTATGCTGTTATTTGAAAGCTGGATAGTAGGCCTATCCTTTATGTAATGGCACATAAGTCCTGTCTTTTATATAGTCGTACATAAAGGATGCAGGGGGAATCTACCCAGTGTCCTGAGAATAAAAGATGTTTTAAATCCATCTGCTTAAAAAACACACAGCGTCTTAGCCTGGTAGGATTTTGACATACAATGTAAAACTCATCTAATATAGACAATGTAATGTATATAGAAAGCCCTTAACATTACAACACATATTAAATGCACAGACTTGAATTACTCAGATTTTCTGGAGATACTCAAGCACCACCCTAGTCAACTTCATTATCTTATAAGAAGGAAATCGAAGACAGAAAGAAATCAGGTTTGTGCTATTTTAGGTGGAGATTCCAGTGGTAATGGAATTAAATTTGAGTCATGAAGATTATCCAGACAAGTAATCAAATAGAAAATTTCACACTGTGAATGTAAAAGAAAAATATATGAATCTGTAAAATTTGGACACACTCCTTCCGAAGGCCTTCATCCCTCATAGTTGGGATTGAAGACCGGTCTCTGGGGAGCAAGGAGCTGTGCGACCTTCCCAGTGACTCCACAGGGCCAGGCCGGCCTGTCTTTCTCAATGCTGCATGCAGTCTTGGACCTTAGTTGGGTCAGCGACACAATGTCCTGATTCACAGAATATCTGGTCCCCATCCCGCTGGCTTCAGGGACCTCATGCAGCAGCGGCATCCTACAGCTGCTGCCACGTTTTGGATGATTACGTGGCAGTCTGCACATAATGTAGTTTCCACACTTTGTGGGAAATGCGGCAGTTGCAAGCGCTAGCAGCTACAGGGATTGCCCAGTGGGTTGCCCACTTCTTCCTTTAAAAAAAAAAATTCAGGAGTAAACTATCAATTTGAAGAGAAGCCCCCAAATGCATGTGAATGGGCCGTTGTGCATCGCAGAATGTCTCCCAAGAGGGATAAACACAAGGGGAGCACCTCTGTTATAGGGAGCACGTTGTCTACTGAGGGGAGCTATCTATTGGAGTTTCTTCCCTCAACAAAAAAAAAATTGTCCCACTTCTGAAACAGATCATTGGCCTGTTCTGCAGGGAGGGAAAAAATTCTGCCATTACCAATACCCTTCTATCCTTAACAGCATATTTCTCATTTTATAGCTGGAGGGTCTGACTATAGAATTTATTGTTTCTGTCCCCAACAATGAAGTGAAGGATAGTTCAGATATATAACTTCCCCCTCAGTAAGATCTTCTATGGGTTAGGAAGGACACAGGGTGCTGCTGTCCCTACACTTTTCAAAGGTACAGTTTCCAGAGGTTCATAATTCCAGTCTGGCCAGCGTACTAAACCAGTTCATCGCATCCTTCAGGGAAAATCAGGCTTTAAAGGTCAAATACAACTGAGAAAGGTAAGGGCTCTGGGTCTTGGCCAGGCCAGATCAGACTGAAAAATGTCCATGATCTGGAAACACGTTAGCCCAGCCAAACCATGAAGACTCTGGGGCATTTCTGCTCATTGAGAGACAGACCCACCAATCAGAGTGAGAGACTCTTGTTTTTAGCCCTGTCTTTAATTTGCTCTTCTTCAATTGACCTGACACATAAGAAAATAATATGGCAAAAAAAAGAGGTTAAAGAATTCATCGTTTATATTATTTTTCGCCAAGTATTTTTCCTTGACCACATTCATAGTGTGGGATCACCTGATTGAGCAAAACTATGAGAAAATCAAATAGAAACGTGGGTGAGAGTTGTAGTATACCTGGCCAATGCTGATGTGAATACAGGATTTTAATCCCACATCTGTATTCTATGGGCATTGGTCTGAATCAGCTCATTTTAGTGCTGTTACATTACCTTTTGGCCTTTACTGAGCTACCTCTTTATTTCCATGAAATGATCATTTTACTGGAAAACATGTGTCTGCCTACACAGCGTAGAGAAAATGCACCCATCATTATGCACCATATGCTTCCAAGCACAGCTCAATCTATTCTTCTGTAATTAACAGCAACCAAAAGACAATTTGTCCAAAGAATCCATGAGAGTATGCATGATGCCTTTTTTCTTTTAGCCCTTGCCTATGTCTCCATTTTTGAAGTTTGCAGAAGCATTTTCTCAGCTTCTTTCTAAAGATAGGATGTTAAGATGTCAGTAGAAAAGAATGACCACAGGCTTGCCATCTTCAAAGAAGAAAACAGTAGGGTAAAGAAAAGAGGACAGTCAGACAGGGCCTTCATCTCTTGGCAAGAATAGCTACACTCCTATTTTTTCACCAACTCATCACAGCCAAGGAGCTGTGCTCTACGTCCTGGGTCCCAGGGTGAAGGACCAATGAGGTGACAGCTCTGCTTCTTAGATGTGTTCTAAAACCTGATTAGGGTATCAGGAAGGGAGGCTATAGCAGCAGCAGCAACCAGATAATACCTCACAGAAATTATTTCCCTGTTCTGTGGCTATGGGGGAGGGGAGGCAGCAGACACATGCAATTAACATGTAAGCACTCACATTCCATGTCCTCATCTGACTTTTGCTGCACACACAAAAAAATCCGTGACACCAACTCAATATCTCCTGGTGCATTATTTCACCGCAATGCACCAGCTGCTTCGCTTTCTAACTGTGGCTTCCACATGACTGCTAGCTTAGATTAGGAGTTATGCTGTATGGAATGACCCTTCCAACTTTGCATCCACCTTTTCTTCCCACCCAAACATTTCCTCTCTCTGGTTTTCTTTTATTTATTTATTTTTCCTCTCTTAGTATCAGGCATGCTGTGCCAGGGACTTCAGATGGCTCCTTAACTTTTAACCTTGTTTTCCCTTCCTTGGTCTCTCTGTCATTCTGTCAGTCTGTCTGTCCTCTCAGTTTGTTTTTCCTATCCACCTCCAACCCTTTTGATTTGTTTTGGTGTAATCTATGCAGCATTCTAGTCCTTTACCTACTGATTTCTCTTCTCCTTCTCCTCCTGTTAATAATCAATCAGTGCTATATTAATTTGATTTGACAATGTTCTTGACCTGTTCACTGGAATTTGATTATCATGGACTCGGCTTGTAGGAAATGTTTTGTTTCATGATAAGGTCCACTGTATCCTAGAAATTAAAATTCACTTTTTCATTTCAAGAAAACTTCCTCTAAGCTGCCCTCTCTCAAAAGGGAAAAAGGTGTAGTTGTGCCACCACTGATATAATACGGAAATATGCCTCAAGGGTTCCTTGTTGATGTGCAGATAAGTCAGCTCTGTTTGTACAGTATTTCCCAGTTCTTGACCAATTTATTGATCATAATGGCAAGTAAATAGCTTACACTGCTTATTTCATACCAGTTGAGTTCTCTTTCTGAGTGAATGTGTGAAGATCTTCCAATAAATGTAATTAGACTCCCTGAAAGCTCAGGTCCTAAGGGATCATGGTCCCTATTAAATCAGCAAATCTTGTTAAGAACCTGACCTACCTTAGTATAATCAACTTATTCCCCAAAGAAACTAATTTAGCAAATAGAAAAACTTCCATGAATTAGTGAATGATTGCATTTGGGGTGCAGTAACACCTTCAGTTCAAAGTTCTAAGTGTCATACTTCCTGAGTATAACCTACATTAGCTCATGTGCCAAGTTGGCCAATGTATGAATGTGCACTCTATTCCAAATCACACATCATTTGTACTGGTGACCTCTTTGGACAAATAAACTTGTTCCTCAGTACAATTGGTGGAGTATTTAAAATTGGCTTCCAAAGGACAAGTCTCCATTTGGGCCCTGGACTGTCCTATGCATCATTTGAGATTTTCTTTGATACAGTGCCCTGCTACTTCATATTGTATTCCTTCTTGTGTTCACATTTTACTGCTAAATCGCAGAGAGCCTGACTCAATTTACTAGTTAACTACAAGCCAAGTTCATTTTGCAAATGTCTTTGAATTTAATACATTTAAGTTAGAATGACTCTTTGTAAAGACCACTGGATATAAAGTGATGATATAAAATAGCTGGGAAATACAAGAAGGCCAGGGGCTGGGGGATAAAGAAGGAAGGAACAAGGAAGGGAGGGCCCCAGTGATGCCAATCCCAGCTCCTTTAACTGGTGTTGACTCCTGTTGTCTTTGCAAGAGCTTTTTATATTTTATTTTGCAAGAGACTTTACAAAAAATAAAAACTACAGAGTTTTAACCAATAGCTATTTTATAATTAATGTTTATGATTTATAATTTACTATCAACTACATATATCTATAACTTATAATTAGAGATAATTTTTGAGTATAGTATTTGTATAGTAAATGGCCCCAGTGGGCTTTGTTATTGCTGTTCAAAGCATAAGTGCAGAGCATGTTGTACCTTAGCTATGTGTGTCAACATGAAGAATTGTCATGTATTTAATGTTCTTGTGAACATGGACAATGTCATGCAGCATGCCCACTGTTCATTTGTCGTCAGTCCTGGCGAATGGAAATGATCTGTCATGACATCTGCTCTCATCCCTTTCCAGAGGCAGAGGAGCTCTACCAGAAGAGAGTGCTGACCATAACCGGCATCTGCATCGCCCTCCTTGTGGTCGGCATCATGTGTGTGGTGGCCTACTGCAAAACCAAGTAAACCTTCCTCCTCCATGCCTTTCTCGCTCCTTAATGCAGAGACAAATTAGATGGCCAGTGCTTTGCAGAATCTGAGCTCCATAGCTTAGACTTGGGGATTAAAAAAAGGGGGTGGGGGAAGATTACTTCCTCTAAATAATCAATTTTGAGGATATCTCCTAAACACAGAACTAGAAAGCTTTTTGCCTATTCATGTGAAAGTGTTTTAAAGATTTCTGATAAATGTCCACAGCCCCTGAGTGAGTGGATAAAGAGCTGGAGGGACAGTCTTGTGTGGAAGGCGTGTATATGGGTGAGGTGGAGTGAAGGTGCCTTGTTCTAAACGGAGAGGGAAGGAACCAAAAGTCCATTTTAGGGCTTAGTATAATCAATTTCACCCCTAAAGAAACTAATGTGCACCAAGAAAAACTTTCATGAGTTAGAGACTGAAGGCATTAGAGGTACAGTGGTACCTTTAGGTCAAAGGACTACTGAGAACAAATTCAATTTACACTAAAATTTACCCAATAAAGGAAACCCTTCATGGTGTTTGAAATGCAGTTTTCTGAGCTATAGTGATTACTTTTCAATTCTATCTAATTAGGTTGCCAGTATAAATGCTCTCACAGTGTAAGATGTACAAAAGGAATCTCAGGGGAGGAAAATCAAGCAAAACTTTCTTTGAAAAAATAAAAGAGAAAACATTAGAATAGATTTGGGTTCCCTATATTTGGCCTTTAAGTTAGGTCCATGTTAACAAATTCAATTACTGTGTGACATGAGTTCTCTTCACTTTTCTCTCATACATATAACTTACATTTCAAGTCTCATATAATGTTAAATTAACAAGGTTTTTTGAAAGAATGTTGCTTCTTAATACTCTCTTGCCAAACCATCCATGGAAATATTTTCATACTCTGAATGTTGTGTTGAGGAAGAAAAATACTATGCTTTTACCACAAAATCCAGAGCATGGATTGTACTTTCTCAATATCCCATGATGTAATGTATTGCCGGAATTAAGTGATAGAGATAAGCCTTCATGGAATCGACCTAGTGAGTCTCATTAGATTCCATCTCAGTATTCACTGCCTAATGAGACAAAAAGCGTTACCAGAGCAGGATCATGTTACAGCTGTGCCAAAATCCATTGGCACAATATGTCCACATTCTCACTCATATACATGGGATACATCACAAACTGCTAACTGTGTATATTCAAAACTCAGTTCATTTCCTTAAGAGACCCCAGAAAAAACTATAAATGAAGTCAGTCTTATAAATTCTATAGCACAATTTTTTTTGAGATATATTCTGTCTCTGTCACCCAGGCTAGAATGCAGTGACACAGTCTCAACTCACTGCGACCTCCACCTTCCAGGTTCAAGTGATACTCATGCCTCAGCCTCCTGAGTAGCTGGAACCACAGGTGCATGCCACCAGCCCAGCTAATTTTTATAATTTTTGTAGATACTGGGTTTCTCCATGTTGCTCAGGCTAGTCTCAAACTCTTAGACTCAAGTGATTCTTCTGCCCCTGCCTCCCAAAGTGCTAGGTTTACAGGCATGAGCCACCATGCCCAGCCCAGCACAAATTATTATCTAAGAAATAAGAGTCCATTTGTAAGACTTAGGCAAAGATGGATTGATTAGGAACATTGGGATTTTAGTCAATTATCAACTTATTTGTGTTATCCTCTTTTTTTTTTTTTTTTTTTTTTTGTTTGTTTCTCAGTAAAATCACTAAATTTCCATCAGAATCCCATATGGCTTTTAAAATCTATTTAGTAAGGATGTGTGATTTCACTTATTCTGGGATAGAGTGTACACACTCCCTTCCCTCTTCCTCATCACTAGTCTATTGCCTTGAATTACTCATAGGTGTTGGTAGAATAAAGATTTGGCTCCACTGTGAAATGTACATGATCAAAAGAAAAATAAATTCTCCCTTTTTTATGTCCAGGAAACAGCGGAAAAAGCTTCATGACCGTCTTCGGCAGAGCCTTCGGTCTGAACGAAACAACATGATGAACATTGCCAATGGACCTCACCATCCCAACCCACCCCCCGAGAATGTCCAGCTGGTGAATGTACGTTGATTCTGGCCAGTGGAAAAAACTGAGCCTCTCTCCTCTGTTCAGACGCCTTGAAGTTTATTTTCGAAAGCTCTTAAGCTTTTAGCTGCTGCCATTAATCACCATGGCTTCCAGGAATCCAAGTTTTTGCCAGGAGAAAATAATGGGAACATTTTTTAAAGTGGATTTGGTTACTGTAAAATCAGCACATTTCCTCTTATAAAGTGTTCATTAAGGGGTTGGAATAATAGTGTTGAGTTTGTTCTGCAAGGAGGCTATAGCTGGGGCTTGTGTGGAGGGGGGGAGAAACAAAATTAATAGTACAATAATATAAAAGAATTTTATATATATATATCTTAGAAATACAGGCTACTCCAGTCTGTAACTGATTAGTACAGATAACTGAGCAAAGAGCTTTAGAGTTATTTTCTTAGGGGCACGTCACAGTGCCTTATGATTTACTGATTATGATATCCAAAGGATTCTGATTTCCTTTAGGGTGTGGAACGGTCAAGTGACTTATCAAACAAGCTTCTCAGTAGCAAAAGGAGAAGAGTGTCACGCCAGCTTCTTCCCTGGCCCTTTCTAAGTGACATCAAGCTCTCCAGATAAAACGTATCCATAATCATTAAAATATTTTGTTTATACTGTACCAAACTCAGCATTCAGTTTTTTTAAAAAAATACAACTAGATCATAGAATATTAGACTCTGGAGAGTTTGAAGACACTATCTTTCAAATCTCTCTCTTTTTTACAGGTGAGGGTCAGAGCTGCACTATCTCTTGGCTTTTGGACTATTGCTCCTTCTATTCCAGCATAATCCTTCTGTTTACAAATTATCACTATGATGTATAGTTTTTACATAATACACAAAGCTTGAAGATTCTATTGAAGTACCATTTTCTATCCTATAGAAAAAAAGTATATTTTGAGTGGAACAGATATATCACAGACCCAACTACAGAGTTGGTGGTTACTAAACTATCAGCAAGTCTTGTAGCAAAGACCTTCAAGTCTTTGTTGGAGTAAGGTGCTTATAGGTCAACATACTCTGTTGCTTTTCCACCCTCTAACAGTGTTCATCACAATGTTCTGCACGTTTGATAACCATATTTGCTACAAAAGGAACTATAATCTGTCCCCGTACATGTTACGATATATAAAAGGTAGAATGACTGCCTGTATTACATTTACTGCTCATGTGGTATATCTTTGGGGTTTAATCTTTTTCAACCTTATTTTTTCATTATAAAAACAGACTTAAAAACAATGCCTACTTCAGAGACTATTTGTGAGTTTTAAATAAGGTAATTTGCATAAAGCACTTAGCCTAGTGGTATTTAGTGAGTGTTCAATAATCATTAAGTATTATTTTCATTAGATTCACTGAGCTTACATTGCCTTCCAAGAAGCAATAGTGAAATGGTGCAGGGACTAGAAGTAGGTCACTGGGAATCCTTTCCTTAAATCAGGTTAGCTGTACTTCCCAGGAAGATCCACATGGAATAGCCTTTCCACTATGAGAAACAACTAGAGTTGCAAGCATAATTCAAGTTGTATATTTTTGGATCTTCATGAATATATTTAGAGCCCACAGACCATCAGACTATAAAGTGCCTTATTTCATAAAAGGGTATTCTTTTCTATTGGGTTTCTTATTATTTAACTCAATTTGGTATAAATACTAACAGCATTTAAAATGCAACTTCAAAATAGGCCTCCCTCCCTAATAGAAACAGTAAAAACTACTGTGGTTTGCTGATGAAAATAAAGTAGCATCTGGCTAGGTGTGGTGGCTCGTGCCTGTAATCCCAGCACTTTGGGAGGCAGAAGTAAGCGAATCACCCGAGGTCAGGAGTTTGAGACCAGCAACATGGTGAAACCCCATCTCTGCTAAAAATACAAAAATTGGCTGGGTATGGCGGCATGTGCCTGTAACCCCAGCTACTCTGGAGGCTAAGGCAGGAGAATTGCTTGAACCCAGGAGGCAGAATCTGCAATGAGCCAAGATTGCACCAGCACTCTCCAGCCTGGGCAACACAGCAGGAATCCATCTCAAAAAACAAAAAAAGAAAGAAAGAAAAGAAAGTAGAATCTACCTGCACTAAATAGAAATGTCCTCCATATATTATGTGCTTTGTCAAGATGTGTGACTTGACAATTGTTTAATCCCTCAAATTTATCGGTAGTGTTGTTAGCCCTACCACTGATAATAAGTTAAACATTTCAATGACATTAGTAGGCAACGTGGGCACTAGGAAATGGAAAGAGAAAGGTAAGTCCAAAATATAGAGGTTTAAAATTATTTTTTTCTAGTGCTTTGAAATTTGAAATTATGCAAGCTATCATCTCTCTGCTTCTGTTTCAGTCAAATAGCATTTAGCTATCTTCAACTTACAATAACCATGAAACACATGAATATTGGATGAATGTTTGTATGGAATTCTAGTCATGTTATTTAATTAAAAATAAAATAGAAGAAATAGGTCTTTTGCTGATAAAATGTAGTTGGGATGGTGGGCTCTACTTTGGATGTACATCCATAGAGTTTTTAATAACTATTTATCTAATCTAAAAGTCACGGTAGTCCAGGACAGGATTTTCCATCTGGTCATTGGGGAAATGGAATTTATTACAAAGCACGTGTACCAAACTAGATTTGTGTGTTTGTGTATTTTTAATTACAGTGTTAGTATTTTTATTTACATGACAATATTAGTACTTTGATTGACATGAATCTTCAAGTTGTGTCTTTTTGTTTATCCAGCAATACGTATCTAAAAACGTCATCTCTAGTGAGCAGATTGTTGAAAGAGAAGCAGAGACATCCTTTTCTACCAGTCACTATACTTCCACAGCCCATCACTCCACTACTGTTACCCAGACTCCTAGCCACAGGTATGAGAATCTGAAAATTCCATGGCATTTCTCTCAGAATGAATTGTTGTATATTGCCTTTTGATACTACTGCCTAAGAAAAGGGGCCAGCAACAGATTTTGAAAATCAGCTGGCTTTGCCCTTAATTCCTGTATTAATTTGAACCTCAATTTTTTCATTACCAAAAAGAGATAAGTATGCCTACTCCACAGGGCCACTGTTTCTCATACCTGAGATTGTCTTTACTCATGCCCTGCTACTGCTTCCCTGTGACAAGTCTGTCTTTGGCTCTGCATAATACTTAGAAGTCGACTTCTTTCAGCAAATGGATTGCCCTGGGAAGTGCACACGAGAATTGGTTAAACAGCAGAACCCTAAATTCTCAAATGCCTTGGTGATCGCCATCTGAATGCACTCACTCTACCAAGAGCAATGCTAGACCTCCAAATGTATCTCATACAACAAAATGTTTCTTTAAGCCACTCCAAGAACAGAGAGACTATAATTATACTGTACGGAGTGGCATTCAATAAATATTTATTGAATGAGTGAACAAGTGAGTATACTGTATCCTCACAAAGCCAAACTGAATCAAGATCCTCTCTATAGCAAATTATCTTTGTGGCGATTCTGTTCGGCAACAAATGATGTTGCAGCGATCTGATGCATCAGTAGTTTGAAACATTTGTCAGAATCCATTCCTTTCATTTCCATTTTTTGCATAGAATTTTTGAATGAAATATCTCATTGCCTCTCCCATTTCCTCCGCAGCTGGAGCAACGGACACACTGAAAGCATCCTTTCAGAAAGCCACTCTGTAATCATGATGTCATCCGTAGAAAACAGTAGGCACAGCAGCCCAACTGGGGGCCCAAGAGGACGTCTTAATGGCACAGGAGGCCCTCGTGAATGTAACAGCTTCCTCAGGCATGCCAGAGAAACCCCTGATTCCTACCGAGACTCTCCTCATAGTGAAAGGTAAAACCGAAGGGCAAAGCTACTGCAGAGGAGAAACTCAGTCAGAGAATCCCCGTGAGCACCTGCGGTCTCACCTCAGGAAATCTACTCTAATCAGAATAAGGGGCAGCAGTTACCTGTTCTAGGAGTGCTCCTAGTTGATGAAGTCATCTCTTTGTTTGATGGAACTTATTTCTTCTGAGCTTCTCTCGTCGTCCCAGTGACTGACAGGCAACAGACTCTTAAAGAGCTGGGATGCTTTGATGCAGAAGGTGCAGCATATGGAGTTTCCAGCTCTGGCCATGGGCTCAGACCCACTCGAGGTCTCAGTGTCCTCAGTTGTAACATTAGAGAGATGGCATCAATGCTTGATAAGGACCCTTCTATAATTCCAGTTTGCCAGTTATCCAAACTCTGATTCGGTGGTCGAGCTGGCCTTGTGTTCTTATCTGCTAATCCTGTCTTACCTTCCAGCCTCAATTAAGTCAAATCAAGGGCTATGTCATTGCTGAATGTCATGGAGGGGGGGCAACTGCTTGCCTTCCACCCTATAGTATCCCTCTTATGAAATTCCAAGAAGGATGAATAAATAAATCTCTTGGATGCTGCGTCTGGCAGTCTTCACAGGTGGTTTTCAAAGCAGATACTACCTTCGAGATGGCCCTTTATTCCAAAATGTTTTGGCTTTCCTTTGGGGAGATTGGATTGGGTTGGGGAAGTTATAGCAAAGGTAAAATAAATAGAGGAAAGTAAACAAAAGAGATATTAAATAGTAATTACAGAATTCATAGATTCTCTTTCTCCATTTTCACCTGAGCTGGAAGATGACCAGTATTTCTAGCCCATCAGTAAGATATTACCTGTTCCTATTTGTTTGCAAGTCCACTGAGTTTTACTTTATTTTATTGTCATCTCAGTCTAATCTTTGACCATTTACTAAAAGGTTTACATAATGTCAATCCCTACTTACGTGGTAGTTGCATGGGTGGAGATGACTTTGCTAGAGTCTTTCCACTCGTGGAATGGGAAGTACTTCTAGTAAAAAATAACACATTCTGGGCTTGCAGGCCTGTTGATTACTTCTTCAAGGGCCTTTTCCCCAAAATGATATTTTAGAACGTTATGGAATTTATGAAATCAGAGGTAAGCTATTACCTGTTTGTTTGCAAGTCTGCCGAATTGTATTTTATTTATTTTTGCTTTATTTTATTGTCATCTCAGTCTAATCTTTGACCATTTACTAAAAGGTTTACATTAATGTCAAATCCATATTTATGTGGTAATTACACACATAGACTAAGATGACTTTGATAGACTCTTTTCACTCATGGACTGGGAAGTACTTACAATAAAAAATGACACGTTCTGGGCTTGCAGGCCTGTTGGTTACTTCTTCAAGGGACTTTCCTCAAAAATGATATCTTAGAACATTATAAAATTTATGAAATTAGAGGTTTCCCTGCAACCAATCAATGGAAAAGTAGGCAGGGTTTAAATGGTTTTAAAACTTTGGTCTTAAATCCATATCTATGTGTTAAAGAAGTCTATCAATTCTATTTTGATTTTTTTTTGAAACATGAAAAGGAAGTTAGAGATGAAATATTTCTTCATCACTACAAGTGATATTTATCCTTAAATATTTACATTTCCCTGCTGTGCTGGGCTTCCAGACAGTATCTAGGACTACAAAATATTCCTAAACCTAGAGATTATGGAGAGAAAAGATGAATCACTTTTATACGCTGGTTGAATTTGAATTAGCATTCCTGAGAGCTTAATTTAAGTACCCTCAAAACCAAAAGTCTGAAGACTCAAAACCTGCATATTTCAGTTTCTCAGGCAGGTTCCCAGTTTAGAGACAGCTAACTCTCACATCTGTATTACTGCAAATCATGGAAAAGCAGGGAGGTTCATAGGTTTTCTGTTCCTGTTAGCGAGAGTTCAGATGATGGCATTCAGTGTCATCTCAGGTCATGCCAAATTAGACTCTGTGAATGCCAGTGTGAAGAAAAGAGTCATTTAGTGCTGTGCATTGGCAACATTTTATCAAAAGCTGAGAAATGTGACTCTGAATAAGCCACATCTTCCTCAGTGCTAAAAGTTAGGTCTTCTTATACTGGGGGAAGAAAGCATGGTGTGGAGAAACCAATATGCCCGGTGCTCTGATGGCAAGAATCACTCAGCAGTATCAGACATAGCATGACAGAAGGTAACCTGGTACAGCCAATGCTTGGGGCATCCTGAAAGACATTAACCAAAGACTGATGTAGCTGTGAGTTTGGAAGAGAGATAGACCAAAGACTGGACATAGCCTCCATTGGGGTAACTGTGAAGCCAAGATTAGGTTCTCTCAGGCTTACCTTTGACTGTGTTGGACACTGGGATGGATAGTTCCAACTTGAATGTTAACTAGTTGCATTTCATGGAAAAAATGAAAAGCACACAAATGTATGACACTGTTGTCAGGAATCAATCTAAGTTACTATGCTCTTTTTTTTTCATAAGACATAACCTTATAGCTGAGCTAAGGAGAAACAAGGCACACAGATCCAAATGCATGCAGATCCAGCTATCAGCAACTCATCTTAGATCTTCTTCCATTCCCCATTTGGGCTTCATTCTCTAAGACCCCTTGGCCTTTAGGAAGGTATAGTATTTAAGTAATACTTCTTTCCCTTCCGAATCCCTGAGCCTTGGTCCTTATATAAGCTGAGAGGTTTCTAGGACCTAATGCCTTCTTGTCTTGGCTCATATGCCTTTATTTATAATTGTGATGAGATTGAAAATCGCAAAGGCTTTGATGAGCTAGGCAATTTAGCTGATCTTTGCATGCACTTCTGTGAGGAAACTCTTGGCTACATAATTTTCTATTCCAAGGGTGTGGAATTTCCTAGCGTAAATAATTGAGCAATTATTGGAACAATGAATAGAAACAATGAATAGAAATTCTCTGTTCTCTGATGACGTAATATCATGACTCTGCCCCTTACCTTCCCTGCTATGTACCTCTTATTCCACCACACTTATGCAGGGTATTCTGTGCTCACACAGGTATGTGTCAGCCATGACCACCCCGGCTCGTATGTCACCTGTAGATTTCCACACGCCAAGCTCCCCCAAATCACCCCCTTCGGAAATGTCTCCACCCGTGTCCAGCATGACGGTGTCCATGCCTTCCATGGCGGTCAGCCCCTTCGTGGAAGAAGAGAGACCTCTACTTCTCGTGACACCACCGAGGCTGCGGGAGAAGAAGTTTGACCATCACCCTCAGCAGTTCAGCTCCTTCCACCACAACCCCGCGCATGACAGTAACAGCCTTCCCCCTAGCCCCTTGAGGATAGTGGAGGATGAGGAGTATGAAACGACCCAGGAGTACGAGCCAGTCCAGGAGCCTGTTAATAAACTCGCCAATAGCCGGCGGGTCAAAAGAACCAAGCCCAACGGCCACATTGCTAACAGATTGGAAGTGGACAGCAACACAAGCTCCCAGAGCAGTAACTCAGAGAGTGAAACAGAAGATGAAAGAGTAGGTGAAGATACACCTTTCCTGGGCATACAGAACCCCCTGGCAGCCAGTCTTGAGGCAACACCTGCCTTCCGCCTGGCTGACAGCAGGACTAACCCAGCAGGCCGCTTCTCAACACAGGAAGAAATCCAGGCCAGGCTGTCTAGTGTAATTGCTAACCAAGACCCTATTGCTGTATAAAACCTAAATAAACACATAGATTCACCTGTAAAACTTTATTTTATATAATAAAGTATTCCACCTTAAATTAAACAATTTATTTTATTTTAGCAGTTCTGCAAATAGAAAACAGGAAAAAAAACTTTTATAAATTAAATATATGTATGTAAAAATGTGTTATGTGCCATATGTAGCAATTTTTTACAGTATTTCAAAATGAGAAAGATATCAATGGTGCCTTTATGTTATGTTATGTCGAGAGCAAGTTTTGTACAGTTACAGTGATTGCTTTTCCACAGTATTTCAGCAAACCCTCTCATAGATTCAGTTTTTGCTGGCTTCTTGTGCATTGCATTATGATGTTGACTGGATGTATGATTTGCAAGACTTGCAGCTGTCCCTCTGTTTGCTTGTAGTAGCACCTGATCAGTATGTCTTGTAATGGCACATCCGTCCGATACGCCTCTCTCGTGTATGAAGTTTTCTTTGCTTTCAGAATATGAAATGAGTTGTGTCTACTCTGCCAGCCAAAGGTTTGCTCATTGGGCTCTGAGATAATAGTAGATCCAACAGCATGCTACTATTAAATACAGCAAGAAAACGCATTAAGTAACGTTAAATATTAGGAAGAAAGTAATACTGTGATTTAAAAAAAAACTATATTATTAATCAGAAGACAGCTTGCTCTTACTAAAAGGAGCTTTCATTTACTTTATTTGGATTTATTTTTCTTGACAAAAAGCAACAGTTTTAGGGATAGCTTAGACAAATGGGTTCTGGCTTGCTATCAGGGTAAATCTAACACCTTACAGGAGGACTCAGTGTCACTTTCTCTCTGAGGGAATGATCCAGCGGCTTCTCTAGTTGAAGATCAAACCACAGCTGATAAAGGTGCAATCATTTCTGACTTGTATTTTTCACTGATTTTGAGCTAGTGATTGGTTGTGTCTTCTCGGCTCAGAAGGAGGCATATTGCGGCACAAAAAGTCCAGGCCAGACAGCACATGCAGCATTTTGTCTGAAGTACTTCTAGAGTCAAACGTGCCTGCTATACGTAGCAGTGTCTTGTCATCATAGGGAAATATTTCCGTCATAGAGTGTTCAGAAGGAGTGACCATGTAGGTGGAGAGAAGCTTGATGACTCGGTTAAAATTTTAAAATGTGGATGATCATCCCTTTCTACCCTTTATTTTTCTATTTTTCCATGTTGCCTTGATCAGGTCATAACTGTGCATGAACATTTTTATCAGGAATGGCCGATGTGTATGTGATTTTTGATTAGTTAGAACTTTCCGCAAGTCATGATTCATCAGGAAATGTCGATCCTGTTGGAAAGATTGCACCTTTACTTGCAGAAGTGACCCCCACCTGTGTCCTGACCTCTCCATTTACAGGCTCCACCGCCCATTTCCCCCACCTCCTTTAATTTCTGCTTTACTGTCATAACGTAGGACTAAGATTGGTCTAAACATTGCATGTTCTCTTGTGATGGTAAATCAAAGGAAGACCTATAAGTATTAACATTTGAAATAACTGCTAATTCAGGAAAATGGAAGAAAAAAGTTATTTGAAACACAGAACCCATTTCATGGCCTGCCTGATATCTGTGAAATCAGGGCTGGAGCTTAGGTTTCACGTAGCCTCCTAGGTGCCGTGAAACAAATGGGAAACAGGATATTGGCGGGGGGAGGTTCATGAAGTCAGTGAGAGTCATTGCTTATTATTTGTGAGTGAACTGAATGTATTTCTTCACCAAATCTTGATGTTAAAAATTAAAAAGGAGAAATGACATGTAAGTAGGTCTTAGCAGAACAATGCAGGCTGGGCATGAGTCATGTTATGCTCCCACATGCTTCTGCAATCCGCAGAGATGGCTCTCTGCAGGTTCTTGAAGTTACTGTTAGTATTTGGTATCTCATATTTTCCATCACTGTTCACATGCCACTTTCTCTGTGCTCGGTGGTATCCTCATTTGCTTTTTAACCTACACTGAGAAGCCTCTGTCAACTTGTACTGATTTTTCAATTCTGCAGAAATGAGTAAGCTCACGGCATGGGGAAGAAGAGAGTCAGCCCAGTGAAGTTCTCTAAATTATTTTAACATTGCCTTTGAAGGCCTTGACTCATCCTTAGCTATTTTAATAAAGTAATTCCTACCATAAATTTAAAACCCTAAAAATTCAAGTTTCAAATTCTTTGGGCACTGGGGTACTCAGATGTCCCATTATGGAAGAATTTTGAGAATAAATAGAACCTTCTGTTGAGAACCATGAGCAACATTTTTCTTACTATAAGAATTGCTATACATTTTCCAATTGCAAATATATATGAAAATTTAAGACAAGAGGAAGTTTTATTTCCAACTTGATTCTGATCACTCACAGAGGTGGCATGTTATTATAATTGGGACATCCTTTGAACCCTTGATAAGAAAGGCCAACTGGTCAGGGCCCCCTCCCGTGGCCACTAGATTTGTGTTCACAGGGATATCTCTGTGATGCTTGTCACATCACTCTCAGCCACTTCTATTAATAAATTCAGGCAGTGCAGTGGCAATCGTAGTGTGAACCTGTGTTTCCAGCATATGGAAAGCTATCTTGGGTTTTAAGGCACTAGAAATTGCCCAGGATTTTGACAGAATCTTTGTTTCCTGGGTCTAAAATCATATTCCACTGAGGTGTATGCAGTGGAGCATAATATATGCAAAACTCTTTTTGTCTCACCTAAGATTCACTTTCTTACTTTGCCTTCCTGCCTAATATGACTTTTGCCCCCAGGAGTGCCTGGACAGCATTCTAGTTTCTACAAACTGGCCTTCTGTGTCGTTGAATGTGTCCCAAACCTGCTATCTCTTTCTTGTTTCAGTGTGACTGTCTTGAGTTTATCCAGGGTAACTTGCTCAGTAACTACTCCTTCTTATGGCCTGGGGTTAAAGGGCGCATGGCTCACATTGATGAAAATAAGGAAGGCCTAGTCTTATCTTGTATTAATAATACTGCCTGCATTCCACCAGCCAGAGATTTCTATCTGCAAAGACCTATGAAACACTGAAGAGAAATGTAGGCAGAAGGAAATGGCCACATATCACAAGTTCTATTATATATTCTTTTGTAAATACTTATTGTACATTACTTGGATGTTTTCTTATATCATTTACTGTCTTTATGAGTTAATGTCAGTTTTTACCCTCTCAACTTACTGTGTAACATTGTAAATAACATAATGTCCTTTATTATTTATATTTAAGCATCTAACATATAGAGTTGTTTTCATATAAGTTTAAGATAAATGTCAAAAATATATGTTCTTTTGTTTTTCTTTGCTTTAAAATTATGTATCTTTTCCTTTTTCTTTTTTTTAAGAATAATTTATTGTTCAGGAGAAAGAATGTATATGTAATTGAAACTATCTGAAGAATGCACATTGAAGGCCATGAGGTACTGATAAACTAAAGAATTTATTATTCAAAATACTAAGCAATAAGTAATTGTGATTTATTTAAAGTTTTGTCCATTTTCCATGAAAGACATACTGCAATAAAAATGCTACTCTGTGGAGACCTGGGAGTGTTGCTCAGCAGACTACAGCTTCAGTCTGTTAGACCAGCACCTTTCATCTCATTCCCATAGTTGTGCTAATTTAGGATTGTGTTCTGTGAACCCTTGATCATCTTGTCTGTCCATCACTTTTGCCAAACCGCCTGTTCTCGAATCATCTTCTCCCTGTCAGTGCTGTTTATCACTTTCTTCCTTGTTGAAGAGGCCACACAACCAGACAGTATGACGTTTCCTTTTTCTTCCATACACGATAATAGAGAATATTTTAGGGCATGACTGCCTGGATCCTGGCTGTTGCTATGTTTTGAAGTGACAGTAAGAAACTCCCCCAGACTAATGAAAATGTCAATGTGCCATTCAATCACAAAAGGCAAAGAAAAATGCTTTCATGGTTCAAATAGTCCAATGGCCCATAGTGGCCTAAAAGGCAGCCAGTTGAGACCCGGCCATGCTTCTCTTCCCTATAGCGCCAGTTAATTGGCTTTCCATCAGGCCCACAATTTATGGGTTCACAGTTTTAGAAGAGGAGAAGACCAAGTTGGGTTCATTCCTCTTATTCTGTCAATAAAACAAATCAAACTCATGTCTATCTAACTGCTCAGGGAGGAGCCTTTACATGAGAAAATTCTCATATTCTAAGACTGAGTCATAGAAATGAGGGTATTACTTTTCATATTGCAATTAACCTAGACAAAAGCCATATTTTAACAAATAGATATTTGCATGGTACCTTTCATGTATTTCAAGCATTTTGCTCTTTATTACAATTAGGTTAAGAGCTTCCGAAGTATATGGAGCAAAGGTCAGCAATCGTTTGGAGTGAACAGTGGCCTCCTTTGGAGTTAGGGGGTAACCCGAGACTTCCCACCAACATCCACCTCCATCTATGTATGCAATTCCTATTACCTAGTTACTGCTCCACCAGAATCATTTCCAGACATTCTGGATGTCCAGGAGATTTAAATTGTAGCTTTTGACTGAGCTAGCTTTTCCTATTTATATTAATACCTTCTTGAAAAATGCTTGAAATCTTCACATTTGCAACAGCTTTCGTTTTCATGCACATACGAACACCCAGAGAGACAAAAATTCCCAACAGATACTCTCTGAAAGCCATCACATTTTCACTTGCTCTAGAGTCAATCAGCCAACCAGCCATGCAGAATAATGTCTGAGAATAATAACTAAGAATAATGTCTCAAACTTAAAGGCTGAGACATTTTTCTCAGTTTCTGCTGTGGCTTTGTACCCAAATTGAACACTAGGCAGCGATCATAGTAATTTTGGTTAAAATTCTTTGCCTGGGATATAGTAATTGAGGCAGAAGCACATGTGTGAAGGAGGCGAGGTACTTTGGAAAGAGTGAAGACTCAGACTCACATGCAGCCAGATTGAATATCTGGAGAATTACTGCAATTCTCCCTTCTTGGTCAAAACCATGTTCTCTCTTAATTTTCAACCTCAGGCTGGCACAAGCAAACCTGAGTCTTCCTAATCATTAGATTTCTTTTCTGTTCTACCCATGAATGACAAAAGAACTTGATGTTCATGCTTTGGGGTTAAATAAGGCAGGTCTGAAACCTAGAGACTCAAGATGCTGGAAGGAGTGGAAAGTTTAGCTGAGTTTATATGAATCACTTTGTGCTCTGTGTCTGGCTTGTCCTCTTTGAAACTGATTTAATAAAGTAAATGTATGGAAACGAATCCTCCAAAAGATTAATTTGGCAGGAAATACAAATACTTTCACTTTATGAAAGACAAAACTCTCTCGTTGCTACAGGAAGCTGCAATATTCCTAACCTTTAAGGTTGTTGTTGAGTGGGGTGGTCATGCCCTCTTCTGCAGATGTCTTGAGGCTCCTGTTGACCTCCTGGTACTGCAATTAGTGGACTTCTCTGGGTAGCTACTGATTTTGAATTTTAAGTACACTTCAAAACTTTATCCACCAGGAAAATAGGAAAAAAGTTTGGTTACCTGGAGGAAACCTATTGTGATCTACCCGAGCTTTTTAAAAACAGGCTAGGAGAAGAAAATCAGTAATTTTTAAAGAAGAGACAGAGAATGGGATAATAGTTTCACCCAGGATCTCTTTCTGACCCTTTCCCTTCCAATGGACTTATTGGAACAGAATTGGAAAGAAAAAAGACAACTCTGCCCACCCCACAGCATGCAGAAAAAGCTAAAAGAATTACTCTGCAGATCTGAACATCTTTAATGGCTTATGTACAGATTTGCTATACTAATGTAGAGAGAAATGAACTATTAAATAAAAATCACATTTTATAATATTTTTATGGCTTAAAACATCCTTTATCTCTTTCTTGTTCTCTTTACATGATATCGTAAGCGATGAGGAAAATTTAGGCTCAGGAAGGTTAAAACCTTTCTTGGAGTTCCATGTCTTAGTGAGCTGCAGAGCTGACATTTGTACCCAGTTTTTCTGACTGCAAATCATCTTTCTTTCTATTGTATTCTTCCGCTTTCCCTGCCTCCAGCACAAATAGGCTTTTCATTTTCAACCCTCCTTTATGTGTATAGTATGTTACATCTACAGCTAAGTTTCTTTTTAGAAAAACGTGAGCCCTTCCAGCTTTGGTTTAGAGTTATTCCAGAAGCCTATTTGCTTGGCTTAGTCATTCCAGGCACCTTTCCCTCATCTTAGCTTTCTAAGGAAATGAAGTGTAGCTGTGAGAATAAATTCACACTTTCAACATGTATGTAGCATCCTAAAGTGAAAACAGGAGGAACTTTGTGATCAAGCACTCTCCCCACCATTTAGAAACTTCCTGACTGTGGGCAGCTTCCTCCCCCAAGCTTATAAACTGATCCCTAAGACTGTGGTGTGGTCAAGATTGAATTTGAATACATGTGAGGAAGCTTGAAAGTGTCTTAACATATAGTGACTATTCAAATGGCACCTTCTATTTGCTCCTTCCCCTCCAGGTCCTTAAGTTTTAGAATATAAGTTTCTCAGTTCCGAATGACATGGTCTACATTGCACAAATTGATCAAATAAACTTTGTGTTACCATTTCACCAAGATAGTGCCAGTAAGCAAATCCTTTTAAACAACAACTGCATGTTGAGACACATGTCACCAAACAACATTTAACTTTGTAGCTTTAATAAATTATTTAGGTTTTGGTTTTGGTTTTGTTTTCTGTGACAGGGTCTTGCTCTGTCACCCAGACTGGTGTGTAATGGCGTGACTATAGCTCACTGCAACCTCTTACTCCTGGGCTCTAAGCGATCCTCCCACCTCAGCCTCTCGGGTAGCTTGGATTACAGGCGTGCTTCACCATGCCCAGCTATTTTTTTGTTGTTTGTTTGTTTGTTTTTGTAGAGACAAGGTCTTGCTACATTGCCCAGGCAGATCTTCAACTCCTGGCCTCAAGTGATCCTCCTGCCTTGGCTTCCCAAACTGTTGAAATTACAGGCAAGAGCCACCACCCATGACTTTGTGTTTGTTGTTTTAATGCGGTATAAATGCAGCTTGCTTCTTATGCAGCCATACCATTTCATATTAACTCTCATTTTTAGCAGCTTATTACATTAGCATTTTATTATTAATATAATTTAACAGTAATTTACTAAATCATGACTCTGTAGAGTTTTATAATACTACCTCCAAATGTCATTGCAAACGTCTAGAAGAATGAACAAAAATGATCCTAGATTGATAGTATAACTGTTTGTCTTAGTTTCCAGGATGTTCAGACACATTCCATTTCTTTGAAAAAATATAGGCTGGGTGCAGTGGCACATGCCTGTAATTCCAGCACTTTGGGAGGCTGAGGAAGGCAGATCACCTGAGGTCAGGAGTTCAAGACCAGACTGACCAACATGGCGAAACCCCGTCTGTACTAAAAATACAAATATTAGCCGGGCATGATGGCTAATGCCTGTAATCCCAGCTACTTGGGTGGCTGAGGCAGGAGAATTGATGGAACCCGAGAGGTGGAGGTAGCAGTGAGCTGAGATCATGCCACTGCACTCCAGTCTGGCCAACGAGAGTGAAACTCCATCTCAAAAAAAAAACGTGTGTGTGTGTGTGTGTGTGTGTAATCCCACCAAAATTCTGCAGAGTAACCAAATTAGAGGGGTCTGATTTCATATTAAATTCCAAATGTGAGAAACCATGTGGCTCCCATGATCTATCCAATATTTCCTCAAGTTCTCCTCACTCTTTACTTCATGCATAAAACAGGATTTTTTTTTCTCATCCTGGGTATGAAGCAATTAATAATTTATGGATTTAACCTATTTATTTTCAGTCCTTTAAAACTTCATACTACATCCAAGATGGGGGTGACTTAGTCTCTGATATTAATCATCAGGCTTGTAATATCGGCCTTGTTAATGGCAAGAGAGTTGAATATAACATTCCATTCATTATCCTTCATTTAAATAAAAAATTTTTTATTGAAAACAACCATAACTCTAGCTCATCATAAAAATAATTCATAAGGACATTTTATTATTTTTATATTAAATAATATTCTAGATGTAAACTTTGCACCTTTCTAATTATTATCATGAGTTAAGCTAATATTTGTCTTCTAGTCCCTAGACGGTGATTCTTTTTGTGTTACTGGAGGAGCCCTTTGTCCTGAAGTGAGATGCTTAGACAGTAGAGGACTTCTAGTTTCTTCCAGTTGAGCCTAAAGCGAACCTTTCATCTTCCTCAGAGGAAGCGGCTTCCTAGGTTTGTACTTTTGCAGCTCATCAGATAACAACACAATTTTATCTTGGATCCCAAGTTCTCTTCACCATTAAGAATAAGGAAGAGAGAAAGTGCGGTGCATGGCAGACACCTACTCCAAGTGCCCCAACCCCCTGGAACCAGGTTTCTTCCAATAATGGGATGATTCTGCCCTCACTCAAGAGTCTCCCCCACAAAGATTCCGTCCTCCCTTTACTTTTTTTTCTTTTGCTAAACAAAGACTGCCTTTAAGTACCTCCTTAGTTTAAAACCCTTATCATCTTCCTAGCTCTTCCCTTCACTGTTACCCTGATTTTAAAAGATCTGAAGTCCTAAGACCACACGACTTCAGACTGTGAACAAAAATTCACAAAAATTATTGGGGTTAGAAAGAATTTAGAGAAATTGTATTGAACAGGAAGACCTCTTTGATTAGTGGTGGGTCCTTTAGAAAATTCCAAGGCAGAGTCAATGGTGTTTCATCTTTTCCATGATTTGCTTGATCAAAAACTTCTCTTTCACAACACGAAAACATGCTAACCCACCACACATTTTGGATTCTGCTCTGCTTGCCTGAAGTGTTAGATCTCTAGCCAGGACTGTGAGGGGAAAGACCTTGAATCCTTCCTGTTGAGCTATTCATGCAGAGTCAGTGACATGAAGGGTTCCACTCAGGGTCAAAATCAGGTCAGTTACCAAACAAAGGAACAGCCAAGGGGAAACATCTTCTCATCTGGTTAGCAGAGCTACATGTCATCCACTGACCAAGCCAGGCCTAAGCAATATTCTAGATTTCTCCCTCCACATCTAATCAGTGACAATGGTGATTGTACCACTGATAGGTCAAACAAGTCCACCCCCTCCTTCACAGCCTCACTGCTTCTGCTCTTGTTTATGCCCTTATCATCATCTATCACTAGGCTCCATTTGCCTCCTGACTCATCTACTTCCTTTCACTCCCCTGGGCCATCCTTCACACCATGCTAGAAGACTGTCTCTAATGTGCAAACCTTATTGTGTCAATCTCCTGGTTATGGCCCCTCCACGGCCCCGCCTGACATTCTTGTCTCCCACCTTCATTCTTCATTGGGATCTTATGGTTTTCTAGTTCCCAAAAACACCACACCAGTGTTTATGAAACCCCAGTCGTTGGCATATAAACTTTGTGGTTATTGACATATTCATGTACCACCTGTATTATTTTTTTGCATATTGTTTATTTTTAATTGACTACATTTTTAACTGCAATAAAGTAATTTCAACTAAAACTTTGTAGCAATGCTGTGAATGGAAAACTGCTATCAGTTGCCACAATGAAAATAAAACCGTAAAAATAAATATAATAAAAATGAAACAAAGTTATTAAGTTCTAACAAGATACTGTTGCCTGCTCAGAGTTCTGAGCAGTAAGCCTATTCTCTGTTTGACACTAAGGGAGTTCAGAAAGTGTTAGAGAGATGGAAAATATACTTGGAAAGCACAGAAAGATTTATTCCCTGAGTTAGCCATGTTTGAGAGGGAGGTTACTTCTACGGTTTTGTTCAATGTTATTTAATGCTTGATGCTAGAATCATCCTGCATACAACATTCAGTCACCCGCATATCTCAGGAAGCACAATACTGTACTTATCGCTGCCCTTGTTCCATTTTACTGGAACGCTCTTCTCCATTCATCCTCCTAACAAACTTCTTTTACCCTCTCTCTGGATAAAGAGAGTGTCCTTCTCTGGGAATCTTTCCCTGACATATTTCCAGGTTTCCCAGGTGTTGAGTATTCCTCCATTGCTGTCTCATAGCACACCATACACTCTCCAACACAGGGTTTTCCATCTTTCATAACTTATAGTTAACTGGAACTCCTCCCTCAGCAGACCATCCATTCATTGAGGACAGAGACACTGTCTTATTTCTGTATACCCAGTGTCTAAGGCAGTGCCTGGAACATGGTAGACGCTGGACATCTAGAGAATGTATCCCCGGCAGCGAAAGACTTGGTATTTACCTAGGTTTGTAAGCACATGAGGAATCTAGGTGATCAGAGTCAACTTTAAAGCTAAAATCAAGAAAAGAGTAACCTGTAAATTGTTAAAACAAAATCAGAAACATAACAGTGGAACCAAGCTTGCTAAGTCCTGGTCAAAACACCGTAGGTCAGAGTCCAAGGAATGGAAGCTTCTAAGTTTAGACTAGCTATTGTAGTGAATGCATGAGTACTAAATGTACTCTTATGCTTGTCTTGGCTCCCTCTCCACCCAAGAACCCAAGCTTCAAATTAATCCTTCATTTCTAGTCTTCCTTCTCCCCTCCCACATCTTCTCAAGGTCCTGAAAATAAAGCCTTTTAATTGAGCATTCTTCACTAGGTCGCTTTTTTTTTTCCTCAACTTTTATTTTAGATTGAGAGGATACATGTGCAGGTTTGTTTACATAGGTATATTGTGTATGCTGAGGTTTGGGTTATGAATGATCCCATCACCAGGTAGTGAGCATCATACCCAACAGATAGTTTTTCAACCTTTTCACCCCCTAGTAGCCCCCAGGGTCTATTATTCCCATCTTTATGTCCATGAGTACCCAATGTTTAGC